AAGGTGCTTGGTACAGAAAAAAAAATCGAGTCATCTATTAAAATATAAAACAATGTCTGTTTATAAGCTATCACCAGCAGCATGCAATCAAATATGAAGAAAATAAGAACAGTAACTTATTCTATAACAATATACAGTGGTGATTTTTGCATAAAGGATCTCTGATTTACTGAAATCAGACAAAAAAAAAAGTGATCAAAACATGTGCTGTGTAACATGAGAAAATGCACTAAGAAGAACTATTATGAAATAAAAAAAATCTCCAAAAGCTGATCTTGCTTCAACATTTTCCAGCTTCTTAAATGGAATCGTTAGTTATTTGCTTGGCAATTATAGGTATTTATCTGGATTATGTAACTGATCACAGAAATAAAACATACATGCATTTTATAAAGGTTTTATGCAAAGTGGAAATACTTTGAACATCTAAAGACAGCAAAAGATAAACATGACCTTTCCAAAGCAATTTTGTACACTTGAAACAATCCCACAGATGGATTTCCATCTGAAAAAAAAGTGTATCAAAATTAACTACACCAAGGAAAAACATACAACAAAGATACCTTTAAAATTTGACCACTGCTGTCCACGACATGCATTGTCACTTCCACATTTCTCGCCACACTCTTCCCTCCCTTCTCAAATTCTCCTCTTTCTACAGTGATATATAAATCATTCCTCATTTCACCTGTAAAAAAAAAAACAACAAACACAAAGTGTGCATAAGTGAGTTGAACTTGCTCAGCTTTTGCTTTTAGTACTTCCACCTTCCACCAGTAGACTTCCACCTTCTCTTCTAAAGTAAGAATAGTATCACACCCACAATTTATCAGTATTTTCTATTTTTAAGTAATAACAATTGTTTTCATAAACCAAGAAAATCAACAAAGCTTCATGCCCCTAAAAGCCTAAGAGATTAACTGCCGTAATAAACCTAATTCTAGGAGCTTTTACTTATCCATTAGCAATTTCTGGTCTTTCAGGTGGCATTTCCAGCTATACTGAAACTTGTGTCTAGCTTCACCTCGTTTAATTCCTCTTTAAGGTAATATTAATGTATTTGCTTTCACTTGTAATCTTTACATTTCTCTGTTTAATGTCTCCCTGAAGAACTGACCACAACTTTTTTTACACTTAATCTCAAAAGAAAGTGTATTACTTTGAAGAAGCAAAAAACAAGAGGTTGGTGTTCTTTCCATTAGAATGGCTGGCTTCGCAGACTGCTAACATTCAGATCTGGTTTTCTGACTGAGAAGTTCTGAACGTACTTTACTGAAGCTTTCTAGCAAAAGGTTAGCTTAGTTAGCTTATTTTTTGCTTGTTGGAAAGGCTTCTGAGAAATTAAAATCATCAACACATTCAAACTACAAACACAATACAGACACTACTAAAGCATTACACAGTATGTACAAGTTATTAAATACCTCTAGCATGTTTAAATCTAAGTACTTTGCAGGTTCATACATTAACATGCTAAGTCAGACCACAACCAGATCTTCTGGATGAGATGAACTGTAATTCTATTTTAGTTTCAGTTGACACAAACTACAAAGTTTATGGTTGATGAAAGGAAGAAAGATCCTTTGGTATTTGCTGGGGGGGAGAGGCAGGGAGAAGCGGTACTGGTGGTTACTGGAATGGTAGGGAAGCCCCTGTCCTGTTTGAAGATGCTACATCTATTTCTAAAAGGTGTGAACTAATCTAATTCTGGACGAACATCACTAGAACTACTTGGAACCAATTGGACTTCCCTTGAGAAACAACAGAATAATGAAGGATGAACACCAGCATAATTAGGAACATATACTACAATTCCTATTTCTAGATTTGACAGAAAAAGAAATTGAGAATATATGTTTTCACCTAGTGAAATGCAAGTTTGATAAAGCACATTTTCACTGAGCACTGCTAAAAAGAAATCAAGACAGTTTTGTGCATTTATAGGTGTACCCATTAGGAGTCAAACATGAGACAGATACTTGTACTGTGGGTAAAATTAATTTAAAAATATGTAACAGATAAATAATTAATGAATCTTCAATTTCTAGCTTAATTTTAATGTGCAAGCAGAGTTTGACCTGCTTGAACTTTCCAAGATACTCATGTTTTAAGTTTCTTGCATTTACTTTACTGCATGCAACTCTCCAGTGATTTTTAAGTACCAGAAACAATGATCTTACTACAGTCTTCTAATATTTTCATAACATTATTCCATCACTGTATGCAAAATAATAAAATGATTTCTCCAAAGCACAATCTAAACCATTGCCAAATGAAGAAAAAAAAGTAAATGAGGAAACTGCTATATTATCAAGCTCTTGAGAACCATGCCCACTAAAAAAAAAAAAAAAGGGCAGAATTTGCTATTGTATTAGCTTATTTTCAATTATCTTCTGAAACAACTATGGACAGAGTCTACAGAAACAAATATCAGAACCAGATGGTATTACACTCAGGAGTTTTGTGTGAAGTCAAAGATGAAAGAGCCGCATTACTAATAAGTGTGTGCAATCATCCAACCAATCTCTGGTTCCCAGTGGGAATCAGGTTCCAAATAAGCAAAAGGTGGTGGTTATTCAGGTAATGGACAGGAAGATGTGGGGGAAAAAAAACCCAAAAAACAAACAAACAAAAAGAAAACACCAAAAAACCCCCCACAAACCAAACCAAAACCACCACAAACCAACCCCCCCCCCCCAAAAAAAACCCAAACACAAACCAAAACATTTCTGAAGTGTGTTGTGAATGTGAGAAATGTATAAGGGTTCAAGGGAAGAATGGAGAAGCCATAGAAAGAAGATCCACTAAAGAATATGAAACAGACGATCACAAGCAGCTCAGGAAATCCCTTGAGCTGAAAATAAGTGAAGGCTGGGAGAGCATCAGGGGGTGCATACCACATATGCATGCTCACTTCTTACTCCTCCTTAGGGGTCTGTTTACAACACTCAGCTAGATAGGCCCTTCTTACGTGTATTCAAGTCACAAAATTACCCTTAAAACTACCAGATTCTGATTATTTCCACACTGCAGTAATAGATTATTGTAAAAGTTTTAGAAGCTAGTACAGTATGGTTACCAAAGAGCATGCAATATGTCGGATCCTTGCTTAGCATATGCTTATACTAGGATCAGTTCTAGGTAGTGGTGGCAGTTGGTCAGTGTCAAGACAGTGTTGTCATTCAGAACAAATGAAAACACACAGTAATCAAAAAGAGAAGCTTTGCTATACAACCAATTTTCACAAACAAATTGTAGTTGCAGCAATTTCTGTTCAAAGATTAACTGGAATTGTACATGAATTTGCTCTACATTGTCATTATTTTCAGTTATCAGCAAGGATCAGCAGGTTGCACAGAGACGTCATGGATGCCCTGTCATTAGAAGTGCTCAAGGTCAGGATGGATGACAAACTGGTCCTTGAGCAACCTGGTCTAGTGAAAGGTGCCCCTACCTGTGGCAGGGACGTCCCTTCCAACTCACATCAGTCTATGATGCCATGCACAAATAAAGCATTTCTAAAAGAAGTAATCAGAGCTTCACGGAAGTTAAACAGGCTTTCAAAACCAATATCTGCATTTTAAGGTGTGTAAAAAAATTCAAACCCATTGAGTTTCACCTTTTTAACTGCCAGAAGAAATCAAATCACAGGGAATAAAAAGACACAGGATGTACTTTCACAAATCCTGTCATCATCTCTTACAGAATCTTGGCAGACTTAGTAATCAGTGTCATGAGAGGACAGTTCAGATGAATTTTGTCCTGATCTACATCCATTCAGGAAATCTGCTCTGTGTTCAATGTCTCAGTGCAAATGAAGACATGTGGGTCATGTTATTGAAAGAAAACACCAAAATTTCTCCATTATCATGCAAGGCAAATTAAATCCAGGAGGACACTAAGCCTCTCACACTGTATCAGGAATGTTTTATATGAAGATAGATAGAAAGGCAGAAGGAAGATAACTGAAATAAACTGGAAAATCAATCAAAACACAGTAAACTATAGGCTTTGTATCAAGGGTTTGGTCTGCATCAGGAAGATAAAATAGCAGCTTCCTTTTCTCAAAGTATGTGGCATATCTGACATTCTACAGTCTTTACAAAAATACAGGTTTTGGGTTAAATCTGGCCTTGTGTCTGGATTGTATGCATACATATTTCACTTTTTGGTTTAAACAAGATCACTACTTGGAGCGAAAACGTAAGAAAGCCAACTATACTGAACTTGGACAGCTCAGGTGAGTGTACTGAAACACTAAGAATGTAAACCACGCTCCTGACAAATCTCTAGCACAAAAATTCTATTAACATATTCCAAGTAAAAGCTCATAAAAATCAAAAAGTCAATGGGGTAGTAAAAATCCAGCACAAAGCCTTATCAAAAATTAGCTGACAGTAAAAAAGAAAATCTATTTGGAAAGTAAACTTCACTCTGGAAAGGAAAAAGGAAAGAAAATTATAATAAAAACTTAGACAAATATATTTGGATCCAAATTTTAAAGATTATTTCACTCGCATTATATTTCCCTGGAGATACCTTAATCACTTTTATTTCCTCAGAGTAGAATTGCATTGCTTCAATGTTCCTTAACAGAAATTCTGTCTCCAAAAATTGAGATTGCCTGTGTAAAACTAAGACAAGACATTCTTTTACAGCCCCTCTTCCAGTAATAACAATTCCAACTTCCGCTGTAAAGTATTCAAACACCAGCAAATTGCTGAATTTATCTATATTCCTTAACTGATCGTTTTAATTTATGGCAACTGTAATTACACATTTGATTACAAGAAAATACACCATTTTTCTACAGGATCATTGCCTCAACCAGTATACCAGACAGATAATTCTGACAGATTACTATCAGTCTTGTTTTCAATAAGAGGGGCAATTACAGCCCTAAGCAACACTGAAAGGGAAAGTCCTGTTGAATACCAGAGTAGCCTTTGGTGAGTACAAATGGTATCTTCAGCTAAACTATCTGCATGACTCAAATCTCTCCTAGGTGTATGTGCACTGAGATTTTTACAGTCTTATACTTGACCAAATGTGAGGATTTACACAGAAGCAAGAGAGGTACGTTTAGATACTACAGTACATGAAATTTTAATTACATGTTGAAAGCATACCTACATAATGGCAAGTCTTTACACAAAATTTAATAGTAACAGACTTATTGCAGTTTATTTCCATGCTGAGAAATACAAAGACCCCTTCTCTAAGTCTACTGCAGTGAAAACATCCAACGGCTATTTTCAGCATGAAGCTTGGTACAGAAATAAGAAACTGAAAACAATATCAAAAATAATGGTCAATTTTAAGGTGACAGACAAACCTCTGCCTATAATGAAGTTCTATGATATGAAAGATCTAGATCATTTGAAAGTATTTCTGTCAAAAGAGCAGCTCATTTTTGCCTGTTCTTATGGAGCATCCTCGTGCCCCGACTCTTATTATGATGGTTTTCTTTAAGCTTTCTGAAATCACCAGGGCTTCTGGACTGTACAGTGAACATGTGGATATCAGCACCCAGTTAGTAACACCGGTAACCAGTATAGGGTCCAAGCCCATTATGTCAGCTTTGTCTAGGGCTGACATACAGTTTTCAGGATAAGAAACGATTATAGAATGATGAACCATACACACTAGAATCATTAAAAATGTTTCGTGAAGCTAAACCATCTAGGT